GAGACACCTACTGCCACCTGTACACCTGCGCCATAGCATGCATGAACCACCACCTGTACCCTGCCACATGTGCACCTACTGTCACCTGTACACCTCTGTCCACCTGAACACATGCTGCCACCCTGAACACCTACTGCCATGTGTACATGAACCACCACCTCACCTACTGCCTGCACTGCCTGCTGCACCTACCTGTCACCTGCACACCTACTGCCACCTGAACACCTCACTGCCACCCCTGAAGCACCTACTGCCACCTGTGCCTCTGCTACCTGTGCACCTAGTGCCACCTGTACACCTACCCGCCACCTGTCACCTACTGCCACCTGTACACCTACTGAGCCTCAGCTGCACCTACTGCCACCTGAACATTACCTGCCACCTGTACACCTACTGCCACCTGTACACCTGCACCCACCTGTACCTCTGCCACCTGTTCACCTACTGCTACCTGCTATGCATCTAGTGCCACCTGTACATCTACTGCCACCTGTACACCTACTGCCACCTGTGCACCTCTGCCACCTGTGCACCTACCACCGCACCTCTGCCACCTGAACGTTACCTGCCACCTGTGCACCTACTGCCACCTGTACCTCTGCCACCTGTGCACTCTGCCACCTGTTCACCTACTGCTACCGGTACACCTGCTGCCACCTGCGTCTACCGCCACCTGTACATCTACTGCCACCTGTTGCACCTACTGCCACCTGTTACACCTACTGCCACCTGTACATCTACTGCCACCTGTGCACTCTACTGCCACCTGTACATCTACTGCCACCTGTGCACCTGCCCTGTACATCTACTGCCACCTGTGCATCTGCACCTGTACATCTACTGCCACCTGTACATCTACTGCCACCTGTACACCTCGCACCTGTACATCTAATGCCACCCTAAACACCTACGGCCACATGTGCATCTACTGCCACCTGTACAATTAATGCTACCTGTGCACCTACTGCCACCTGAACATCTTCTGCCACCTGTACACCTACTGCCCCTGTACACCTCTGCCACCTGTACACCTGCCTACCTGTACACCTACTGCCACCCATGCACCTACTGCCACCTATTGCACCTACTGCCACCTGTACACCTACCACCTGTATGCCCACCGCCTGTGCATCTAGTGCCACCTGTACACTACTGCCACATGTGCACCTACCGCCACCTGTACACCTACTGCCACCTGTACATCTACTGCCACCTGTGCACCTGCTGTGCATGCACCTACCGCCACCTGTACACCCTACTGCCACCTGTGCACCTACTGCCACCTGTGCATCTACTGCCACCTGTACACCTACTGCCATGTACAGCTACCGCCACCCTGTACACCTACTGCCACCTGTACATCAACCACCACCTGTACACCTAATGCCACGTACCTCTGCCACCTGAACACCCTACCGCCACCTGTACACCTACTGCCACCTGTGCCTACTGCCACCTGTGCACCTACTGCCACCTGTACACCTACTGCCACCTGAACACCTCCGCCACCTGTACACCTACTGCCACCTGTACACCTACTGCCACCTGTACACCTACCGCCACCTGTACACCTCTGCCACCTGTACACCTACTGCCACCTGTACATCTACTGCCACCCATACACCTGCCTGCATCTACTGCCACCTGTACATCAACCACCACCTGTACACCCTATGCCACATGTACACCTACGCCACCTGTACACCTACTGCCACCTGAACACCTACTGCCACCTGTGCTACTGCTCTGTACCTACTGCCACCTGTTACACCCGCACCTGTACACCTACTGCCACCTGCACCTACTGCCACCTGTTACCTACTGCCTGTTCACCTACTGCTACCGGTACACCTACTGCCACCTGTACATCAGTGCCACCTGTACATCTACTGTCACCTGCGTCTACTGCCACCTGTGCATCTACTGCCACCTGTACACCCTGCCACCTGTACACCTCTGCCACCTGTACACCTACGCCACCTGTACACCTGCCACCTGTACACCTACTGCCACCTGTACACCTCTGCCACCTGTACCTACGCCACCTGTACACCTACTGCCACCTGTGCACCCTACTGCCACCTGTACACCTGCCACCTGTACACCTGCCACCTGTGCACCTACTGCCACCATACACCTACCACCTGTACACCTGCCCCTGTACATCTACTGCCACCTGTACACCTACTGCCACCTGTACACTGCACCTGTACACCTACGCCACCTGTACACCACTGCTGCCACCTGCACCTACTGCACCTGTACACCTACTGCCTGTACACTACTGCCACCTGTACACCTACTGCCACCTGTGCATCTACTGCCACCTGTACATCTACTGCCACCTGTACATCTACTTACGCCTGTACACCTCTGCCACCTGTACTCTGCCACCTGTACACCTACTGCCACCTGTACATCTACTGCCACCTGTACACTACGCCACCTGTACACCTACGCCCACCTGCACCTACTGCCACCTGTGCATCTACGCCACCTGTACACCTACTGCCACCTGTACATCTACTGCCACCTGTACACCTGCCACCTGTACACCTACTGCCACCTGTACACCTACCTGCCCTGTACACCTACTGCCACCTGTGCACCCTACTGCCACCTGTACACCTCTGCCACCTGTACATCTACTGCCACCTGTACCCTACCGCCACCTGTCACCTACTGCCACCTGTACACCTGCCACCTGTGCATCTACTGCCACCTGTCACCTACTGCCACCTGTACATCTACTGCCACCTGTACACCTACTGCCACCTGCACACCTACTGCCACCTGTACACCTGCACCTGTACATCTACTGCCACCTGTACACCTACTGCCACCTGTACATCTGCCACCTATTTCGCCACCTGTACCTACTGCCACCTGTACACCTACCACCTGTACACCTACTGCCACCTGTACACCTACTGCCACCTGTACACCTCTGCCACCTGCATCTACCCTGCCTGTACATCTACTGCCACCTGTACACCTGCCACCTGTACATCTACTGCCACCTGTGTACACCTACTGCCACCTGTACACCTACTGCCACCTGTACATCTACCGCCACCTGTACCTCTGCCACTGCCTACAGTCACCTGTACATCTACTGCCACCTGTACACCTACTGCCACCTGTACATCTACTGCCACCTGTACACCTACTGTTATTCGGCTAGCCACCATATGATTGATATATTTGGCGGCCTACTCCTAAGCCCCTCGTGACTAACCTTCAGAATGTCCAGACTCTTACGTTGACTAAAAACACATCAGTCAGCACAATGTTTGGTGAGTCTTGTAACGCGCCTGGACTTAGGTGACAGCCAGTCGAGTGTGGTGTTCACATACACACTCACTGGATCACACATCTATTGCCTTGTTCATTAGTGCATTACCACCGCCTTCACGTTGAACAAGCTCGGTATGCTACGCTTTGTGCCGGAGACGACAAACAGGATATGGCCAAAGTCTACTTGGTGGGAAGTTACTGGGGAAATTTTGACTGGTGAGATTCCCACAGTGGATGTTTTGTTACGATGATGATAATAATAATAATATAATAATAATAATAATAATAATAATAATAATAATAATAATAATAATAATAATAATAATAATAGATGTAAGTCAAGGTTCTACGCCAAACTACAAATGGTTAACTGACTAGACAAGATGAAGTTAAGGTTCTCGAGTGTAGTTGTTGGCCACGCCTGGTGTAGCCAAGACTTAGGGCCATTGCAAGATTAGCCGTGGTGTACACCACGCTGTAATCCGGCGGTCGTAATACAATGGAGTAAAATTTGTGTGATCTTTCAAGATGGGCCATGGTGGTACCCGACCGTCGTTTGTTGTTACTACGCCATCGTAGTGTAGTCAGGTGTACCAACTGGCGGAAGACTGGGAGGTTGGTAGGCTTACACCCTCAAAACGTTGTCAGTGGCACGAAATGTTTACAGTAAATATAGGTAAATATATCCCGTGACAACCATAAAAATGTATGTAATAGGCCCCTGTCTCATCAACAGAACGTATTATATAAATGGGTCAATACATCTGATATATTCAGATTCACCACCCTGTAACTTTCCACTGTCTATGAGTAAGACATGAGATGGACACGTGAGCGGGCAACTCACCCAAGAGGGCGAGACCCATAGCTCAGCATTTCTGTAAGCACGCACTGCGATGCCCTTAAGCTTCAGTAGCTCACCTCAATTCATATCGTAGGACGTGACCAAACGTTTATCATACATAAACGCCGTCCCCTTCTCATTCACTCCTAGACAGTGAGACTTACGGTTGATATACACTCAGGAATTATATCTACAACCTTTTATAATAAAACAAAGGAACTACCGTTTGGGTTTCGTTACTTAAAACCCAAATATGAATATGTGTGAACGGACTGGTTAATTGGACAAGCAGCCGATTCATGTAGGAATAGAGTGTAATATCTGTACCTATCTTCTAACAATAAAGAATTAAGTTTGCCACGAACTTGGGGTTGAGTCAGTGTAAATAAAGAGAACTATGGCCTGTTCTGTGGATGAAGTCAGTAGAATATAACAAAGTATTATAATTTTGCTATGACAGTGATGAACTCACTGTACAGATGAATTGGGATAAAATCTTGAAAAAATATCACCATAACTGTATAGGAGCAAATCTACTGTGTAGATGAGCTCAGGTGTGAGGAGATGGAGGTAGAGGTCTTAAAGTAACAGTTAAATAACCTAATTGTATGTTTTGCTGAAGCTAAGGCTTAGAAAAGGCTATTTGATAATTCCTGTGGATATTTTGGTGACGTTAGCCCACAGAAGGTAAAGGTAGGTACTACACGATGGTTCTCGTGTGTTTTACAAATTGTGTTAGAGACTTTTTCCACTTGTAGGCTTATCACTGTTATTATCCATCCACAGGATTCAGTCTGAAGAATTGTTAGTGTCTCGTTCCGTAGTACTGGACAGCCGAAAGGAGTTGTCAGGAAACCCATTTAGATTTTAAAATTTTATTAATGGTCGTATAATAAACAATTGTATTAACAACATAAACATAAAGAAACAAGTATTTACCTCATCAGATAAGTAGGGTGTACAGACACACTCTAAAACAAACACTAAACTTTATCAAAAGACTTAAGACAAAACTTAACAATTATTCTCCGTGACGATTAAACCCATGCAGCTGTGAGAGGATGACGAGAGATAACTCTGCTGGATGGTGGACCTTTTTAAACTGTATAACTAGAAAACCACGCGGGATGGTTAGCTTAGATTATTCCTTAATATCAAAGCTAAGCCTCACTATTAGAAATTTTGTAAACTGGACCTTAGGAGATTAAGTTAGACCATTGTTATAAATGTTTTGTTCAAGTCGACTCTCATAAGGTTAAGATAAACACAACAGGACTCATCCTTGCGCCGTTTCAACATTATTTTATACTTATTTCACTCTGCTGGGAGGTGCGGTGTAGCTCTCAGTTCTAGTTGAACTATCGGTGGTACTAGTAGCCCTACTGGTAGTACCATGGGGCCTTGGTATTACATCTAGCCACTATAGTACCAATAAGGCCGGATCTGGTGTTGGTTGTACTGGTTGTAGTACCAGGTGGGCCGTGGTCTAGGTCTGGGACCAAACAACACTGGTGGTCGGTAATTACTGTACGGGTTGTGTATTATCGCTCCCTGTAGATAAAGAAAAAGACCTCATTAACCACACTACTGTAGGGAGAACGACATATAATACAATTGTTCGTGTTCTGGGTAATAAGTTCAATATACAGGACTGAACACAAACACCTGTATAGATTTTGTAGGTTCGATTTACTGGGATGAGATATGTACACAAGAGGGTAATGCTTCACCCACTGTCCGTGGTCGGCACTGCTCTATAGACGACGTGGCAGAGTGATACATTAGCAGCTTCCATACGTCGCCAAGCACATTAATTAAGCATGTGGGACATGATACATACATTGCCACACGCTACTATAGGCTAAATAAATAATACATAAATGGAACATACGCAATATACATGGCATAATATAAATGCAGCATACAGAATGTACATCCACCTCCTCCCCTATACGCTCATAGCAAAGTCTTGAGCGGACTTTCTTTGGATCGTTCTGAGCGTCGGGGACTAGATCACTGGGAAGGGTATGGGACTCCAGCACTGAGGTGGCGGGGGTCAGCAGAGGCATTTGTTCTGAGAGGCGGAGAAAACGGCGGTTCCTCCACACACGACCACTGGAGGCGAAAAAACCGTACACAGGTAGTCAGTGACCTACCGAGACCCGCAGTTCGCCTGCCCGTGGGAGGTCGGGTCCTGAACACCGGACTTGGGTGCCAAACCTCCAACGCCTGGGGAGGAACGGGCGTGGTCGTTGTAACGAAGACGTCCGGTATGATTAAGTGTGTTGCGGGTTCAAGAAGACCCGGTCGAAGGCCTCGCAGTCAATGTTCCCAGAAGGGGCCACCTTAAGGATGAGGTGCTTCAGGGATTTGACAGCAACCTCAGCGTGGCCGTTGGATTGCTGATAATGGGACGATGACAACACATGCCGGACTCCCCATCGGTCAAGGAACACAACAAGTCAGCTTGTGAACTGAAGGCCCCTCCGTCCGGTTCGCAGGCGCACAGGAACGCCACGTCACACGGAAGTAGTGGCGAGACTTGCTGATGGTGGCGGCAGACGTCGTCATTACCCCACTTGATGACAACCGGCCAACCAGAGAGACGGTCGATGATAACAAGGAAGGACTTTCCTGAAACAGAGAAAAGTCGGCTGACACAGACTCAAAGGGGCGGGTGGGGTTGTCAAATCCTCATGAAGGTTTCCTGCTGCTGGCTGGGTTGTAATACTTGGCAGGGCTCACACCGCACAGACAACATTGGAGATGTCGGAGTTGATGCGGGCCAGAACACAGTCTGTCGTGCCGTCGTTTGGTGGCTTCAGCTCCGCAGTGACTGTCGTGAAGGCGAGCCAAGGCGTGGGGCGTGGTGCAGCGGGGACAACTACCGTGCTCCGTACAGAACAAGGTCTCCGTCGCGGTAGAGTTCATTGCTGAGTTTCAATACGGGGAGCAGGGTGTTGGCGTGAAGATCGTGGCGGTTGCTAAAATCCATTCCTCACACACGCGACCAAGTCGGACTGGGAAAGGGTCATCTCAAGGCCCACGCTGTTCAAGAAAGGTCCTCCATTGCCTTGTCGTCATCTGGTGACAGGTCCGAACGAACAGATTGGACGGCATGGAGAGTGACCACAGTCCTGACGGAAAAGAGCAGTCGGCGTCGAGCACATGGTCTTCTACCGATGGGGCGGCTGACAGGAGGAATGGGATAAGGCATCAGGGATGCAGAGCTCACTTACCAACACGCCACACTGCTGTGAAGATGTACGCCGAGGCTTCTCTTTCCAGGCTGGGCAGGTTCTCTTGGCGCGTCCAGCGTGTGGTGGTTGAGGATCGAGACAAGCGGGCGATGGTCGGTCACTAGGTGAAAGTGTTGCAGGCCTATGAGGTAAAACCTACGCGGACATCGCCCAAACCACAGCCAACAGCTCCAACTCAATGGTAGCGTAGCGCGTCTCAGTGTCAGAGAGGAAACCTGACCACACTGGGTTGACGGAACTGCCCTCCACCATGATCCTGCAGTGAGGCGTATCCACGCCATACAAGCGTGAGGCATCTGTCTGCAGAACTGTCGGCAGGCTGAGTTAAGCGATAAGCGAGACAGGTGGCAAGACAAGCCTATTCCACTTGCTGGAAGGCCTTGTCGTGGTCAGGGGTCCACAGGAATGTCCTCTTGGGGGCTCATCAGGGGCAGTGGTTGAGCAGCTGCGGAGATGTCCGACAACTCTGCTAACTGGTTGACGAGACGGATGAAGGACCTCAAGTCGGTGAGGTTAGCAGGGGTGGAAAATCCGTGATGGCGCAGCGGACCTTTTCGGGTCAGCTGCGATACCATTCCCTGAGAGGGTGTACCCACAAAGAGTCAACTGAAGAGCTGGCCAGAACAAACTTGTCGGCATTTAGGGGTAATGCCGTGCTTCCGGCACCTGTTGAGTACCTCGTAGATACGGCAGAGGTGATCCATATAATCCTCGTCGTACACGAGTGTGTCGTCGACCACTTTCACACCGGTTTGCCAGACGGCAGAGGCCATGTCACCTCCAGATAGAAAGCGTCTCCTGTGGCAGCGAATCCCGGGGCCACAGCAATAACTGTAACGTCCATGGGGTGATGAAAGTTGTGGTGGTCGGTCTTCTTCAACAAACTCTATCTGCCAGTATCCACAGAACGTCCATCGTCGTGAAGCCTTCGAAAGGGTTCACACTGCGTATAGCTGCAAAGGCGTGGAGAGAGTGCGCGGGACGAGACACCACAACATTGAGCTTGGAGAGGTCAGTGGTGATCGAACACCACCTTTAAGGTTTTACGACGACAACCATAGGAATTGACCATGGAACAGGTCATCGCCGGTTGGTGCAATAATTTCTTGGGCGACCATGGGTCAGCTCGTTTTTGACCGCCTCGCGGGCAGAGGAACCAGTCGAGGGGTGTAAATAAAGCGAAGGGCCAGCGTCGTCCACCAGGTGGATCCTTATGGGGGGGGACCTGCCATCTTCTTGAAACTTTAGTTCCAGAGCGGACTTGGTCACCAGAACGTCGCTGAATTCCTTCGGGAAATGCTGAACATCGAAGGAGAGGTGTCACTAACCGAAGGCAGGGTAGGGCGGCGGCAGGGTGTTGCTGCTCCCTTTTACCCTGTTGGCGTGTTTTGCACCTCAAGAATAGGTGTTGGGAAGTCCTGGGAGATGATGGCCAACTCTTGACAATGTCTGTAGGACAGCAAAGGAGTCGGGACACCGTTATGCACATCAATCCAGGCTTGACACGATCTGTTGCCAAAGGTGACTTGTGCTTGGAGTGAACCCAGGGCCGGGGTCATCTGTGAACCATCTGCCGTGAAGCGGAGATCCTTGGGGGGCGGTCCTAGATCACTTGGAGAGAGCCCCAAGCATTGCAAATGCTGGGGACCGATGACTGTAGCATCAGCGCCGGTGTCGGGCAACATCTGAAGACGGGATGACACACCGCCGTAGGTCACGATGACGCTGATGTACTGGGGGACTTTGGTCCTGGGACGCGAGGGGGAGCACACATTCCTAATATGGCTCGAGCGTTGTCCAGGGTCGTCACGCTTCTCATTGGAAGACTGTGGGCGGCCCTCACTGGTGGAAGGGCGCTGAAGCTTCCGCCGACGCTGTCCCTTGGGTTTGTTGGTAGGGCAACACTTGTCATAGTGGCCCAGACGACCGCACACGTTGCACTGGATGCGTTTAGCTGGGCACCGTACTGTGAGTGACCAGTGGCCCTTACGGTCACAACTGTTGCAGGTAGACTCAGCAGCTGGACACACCTGTGTTCCGTGCTGCTTACCACAGTTGTTACAAAATGAACCGGGCGTGGACGTGGTGGGCGAAGGCGTAGGAGCAGACTTCTTGTCCTTCTTGTACCGGGACACAGCGCGTACAGCTGTAGGGGGAGCTCGGATGGCAGAGGTGGCACACCTGGCAGCCTCATAGGAGCGACATATCGTCAAAGCATCCTTGAGAGAAGAGGAAGAGTCGAGGGAGGTGAGGCGTTGGACAAGTTCCTCGTCCTTAACACCCATCAGGATCACCTGCTTCAACTGGGTCTCCTCGCACTGCTGGTGGTGGCCTAGACATATATCTACCTCTTCCGAGGCTCTCTTAAGACGTACATAAAAGGCGTCAAAGGTCTCACCCTCCATCTGTCTGCAGCTAAACAATTCCCTCCTGCGCAGAGCTTCATTCTGCTGTCCTTTGATGTGCCGTTGTAGAATGTCCAGTACCTCCTCTACAGACAGCGAAGAGGTCGGAGGTACCTGCAGCGTATGTTCTAAGACACGCTGAATTTCCAAGGACAGGCACATACGCAGCTGGATGAATTGTTTAGGCTGTGACAAACTCTGGAGATCCACCATCGTAGCATAATCAGTCCACCGTCGCCGCCATTCACGAAAAGTCTGGAAAATCACATCAGGCATCAAGATGGGCGGTGTTTGAGCTGCTGCTTTAGGTGGGGCTGGGGGGCGTGAAGGAAGCATTGATGAGGTATCTGAACCAGTCAGTACCGAGGCAGTGTTAGAGCCAGGGGCTTGGTTAACAGTGAGGCGAGATATCAAAGCTTCAAACCGTGCACTGTCTTCCAATCTCCGTTGGTGGTCTCTCTCTGCCTCTGCTTGTCTTCTGCGTTCGTCTGCCGCACGTCTGTTAGCTTCATCCTCGCGCCTTTCATCTCTCATAAACTTCAATAAAGCAATTATCTCTGGAGACAACGCTGAATATCGAGGTGAAGGGCTGCGCGATGTTGTGGGAGCTGGAGCGTCGTGGTCAGCCTGGTCATCCATCTCTGCGGAGCTATCATCCGACTGACTCATCCGGGCGCTGGCTCCACGACTACGTAAGCCACGAGACATAACTACTTCATCTGTGTACTGTGTCTTAAATCAGTGTTGACCGGTCAGCCCGTCGTATCAACAAGATCTCAGACAAAAAATTAATTAAATACACAGATAAGTAGGTTATATATATAAAATATATATAAGGGAGCCGTCGCGGTCAGTGAGTGTTAGTACATGTATGTGTGTGTGCACGCGTCTGGGTGGGAGCAGTCTTCTCGAGCTGTGAGGGGGGGTGGAGACGGCGAGGAGCATCAGTTACCCCTCAGGCAAGACAAGAGGAGGATGTGAAAACTTTACTCCTTACAAATGCCCAGAACATGCCGTGTACCTTGGGAATCCTTTAGAACAAGGTCACACATGTATGGCACGAAACACACAATGCACTAAACACTTCACAGAAAATCACTGTCACTGACACTGCTCAAAGTTGCTAAATTCTTCGAGGAGAGGTGGCGGGCGGCGGTTGACACAGGGAAGGAGTCCATAAGCCAGCTTTCCACAAACTTTGCACTGTCACTCGTAATTATCCAGTAAAACCGGTTCACTGCGCCATGTTCGTGTTCTGGGTAATAAGTTCAATATACAGGAGCGAACACAAACACCTGTATAGATTTTGTAGGTTCGATTTACTGGATAAGAGATATGTACACAAGGGGAGTAGCGCTCTTCAACCTGTCCGCTGGTCAACTGCTCTATAGACGACGTATGGCAAGTGATACATTAGCAGCTTCCATACGTCGCCAGGCACATTAATTAAGCATGTGGGACATTGATAAATACATTGCCACACGCTACTAGCTAGGCTAAATAAATAATACATAAATGGAGCACATACATAATATACATAGCATAATATAAATACAGCATACAGAATATACATACAACAATAATTAAACATTAGTACATAATAAAGTGTTTGCCTTCCAATGTTCGTTATAGTTTTTCTTGTATCTCTATAATTTATCTTTTCTTAAGTCTTTTATCGCTATCATTCTTATCGGTCTGAAAATATAATGATCGTTCAACGCTCACAAACACATCACTTACACGCAAGCAAACATTTATACAGCCCAAACAGGGAGGTACTATCGCCTGGGAACATTTTGAAAGCTTAATGAGTTGTCTAATGGTAAGCCCTGCTGCCATATGTGACCAAGTCCCAGGTTGTTGAACTCACTTACACACGATTGCAGGGTCTCAATTGTTTCAGTTACTATTGACAACACAACATACATATAGTATATCGTTTCTACTTTTGATCCCTTTTTCATTTTTGTATTTCTTTCGGTTCTTTACTATTACTATTATTATTATTATTATTATTATTATTATTATTATTATTATTATTATTATTATTATTATTATTATTATTATTATTATTATTATTATTATTATTATTATTATTATTATTATTATTATTATTATTATTATTATTACGACTATTATTATTATTATTATTATCATTATTATTATTATTATTATTATTATTATTATTATTATCACAGTGTTGTTATTATTATTATATTTTTTTATTCTAAATTTCATTTACTGTGAATTTATTACTGTTTTTATTATTATTACATTTTCGCCCCCCAGGCCCCACTATGGGTCAGTGACCTGTGCCCGGGTGGACTAATCCCTGTAAATAAATAAAAACTGTAGATTCATCTTTCATATAAAGTGGGTAACAAATATAGGTAAATTTAATCAGTGTTCCTTACAACGTTATTCTCTTACGTCTTTCATCCTGAATTCAGATCACAGTCCAGAAAGAATAAATTTGTTCAAAGGTTCTACATTTTCACAAAATCAGAATTATAAAAGTATTAGTACCAATATAAGATTAATTCATATTTCCTGAAAGTCAAAATCTTCAGAACTGGGTAACATAACAAAAATAATAATTACCGAGTTGGGTCTCGTCGCATCAACTCCACCAATTTCAAATGCATATTCAGGCTCATGAGCCGGTGTAGCACTGCTCCTGAACCTCCCAAAGTCTTCTGTACGTGGAGAAATCAAACACAATGGTCATAAATGAGTTTCCTCACACCTTATTTAATTACTTGGTATTATACTTGTATCTAATATACTATAGGACTTGCCGTGCGTGTATCTGTTCTGGGCAGCCGAAACGGCACATTCGTTTTTCATCAAACTTGGTGGAAAAATCGCAAAAAAATCGTAAAGTGAAAAAACCTGGTCCCATGTCGATGGTTTCTTTAGGGAGGCATTAATTAACCATTTTATTTACTCTGGCAAAAGTTGTCACTGTACGCTGTCTGCCGGCCGGACGATTGCAGTTATCGTACGGCTCCCTCCTCCCCACTTTTGTTCTCAGCCTACTTTTTTTTTAATGTTGATTGGATTAGTAAAGGAAGGAAGATGAGGAAATGCAAAAATAAAGAAGGGGAAACAGAAAATAGTAAGAGAAACAGGTGGGGGGGGGGGCTGAGTTCCATCATAAGAACATAAGAACATAAGAAAATAAGGAGTCTGCAATAGGCCGGTTGGCCTGTGCATGGCAGCTCCTGTCGAGAGTTACTACCACTCTCTATCATCCATGAATCTATCTAGCCTCTTTGAAACTTTCCAGAGTTCGCACTTACTACAAAGTTGCTAAGCTTGTTCCACTGTCCACCACCCTATTTGTGAACCAGTTTCTTCCTATCTCCCTCCTAAACCTAAACTTATCCAACCTGAACCGTTGCCTGAGTTCTATCCTGCTCGGATATTATAAGAACTTTATCTATATCCCTTATTGATTCTTTCACCCACTTAAATACTTCTATCATATCTCCCGCACTCTTCGTCTTTCTAGGGAATGCAAGTTAAGTTTCTTTAACCTATCCTGATATGGAAGGTTTCTAACCCGGAATCATTTTTGTCATTCTTCGCTGCACCGACTCTAGTGAATTTATATCCATTCTATAATAGGGCACCAGAACTGAACAGCATAATCGAGGTGCGGCCTAACTAGCGCAAGATATAGTTGCAATAAGACCTCTGCACTCTTGTTACTTACACTTAGATATAAAACCCAATACTCTGTTTGCCTTATTTCGAACATTAACGCACTGTTTTCTAGGCCGTAGGTCCGGCTACAAGTACCCCTAGGTCTCTTTCACAAGTCGACTTCTCTAGGTTGATGTTGTTAAGGCTGTATACATTATAAGTATTTGTTCTTCCAATATTAAGTACGCTGCACTTGATGGTGTTGAATTTCATTTGTCATTTTTCATGCATCTGGATGTGCAGTTTCAACGTTACCAGACGACCTTACAGCTACAGTGTATACTTATTCCTGTAGAAAAGGAGAAGAGATAAAATGATAATAACAGGAATGCATGGAGAAGATGACTACAATAGACACAGGGTGAATATAGACAGTGAAACAGACAGGAGGTTGACAAAAATAGACAGATTCATACATGCACAAATAAACAATATGGCAACTAACATGACAGACAGACAGCTGACTGACTGGTTCACATTAGTACAGACCGGCTTACATTCAAACACCACGCAGACAGGACGGATAGACTTGAGACAGATTACAAGGCATTTATAATCAAGAATAGCACCAAATTGACCATAGCTGCGTCAGTGAGGGTAGCTGGTCTTACATCCACCAGCGTAAATAATAAGACGCATTGAAAACTAACACCCTCGCACTGAAAGAACATCGATTGTCGGTCAGTGATGTGAGATGGGCCTAAAACTGACTAACGTAGATGATGACTATGATGACTACACAGTGATGACTTAAGCAGATGGTGACTAATCTAACCAGAATCAAGGTCACTTCTCTTCATAATATAATTTATCTCGGAATGATCATCGGTGATTCATAATAATTTTTTTTGTTTTTAACCTCCTTATGGCGAATATTTCTTTAACTAATTATTCTAACCTTTATTCCATTCCTTCTTATAGTATATTAGATACTGTAAGTTTCACGACCACGACCATGATCATAACAAACAGGACCATGATTATAACAACCAGGACCATGATTATAACAACCACGCCAATGATTATTAGAAACACGAATATGATTATAACAACCACGACCATGATTATAACAACCAGGACCATGATTATAACAACCACGCCAATGATTAAGAAACACGATTATGATTATAACAACCACGACCATGATTATAACAACCACGACTAGGACTATAACAACCACTACCATGATTATAACAACCTCGGTAAACTGTACCACTGGACCTGCCACCGAGCATGAAGTGCCCAGGATCACTTGTCACAACCTAAAAGCCATAATGATCACATTAGTTCTCAACTGACAAGTGAAAAAAGCAGGATATAAATAGAGGTAAGTACGTACCAGAACGAGCAGGTGTGGGAGTGAAGAAGAGAGCCAGCAGAAACACCCATGTTATGCTGGGCAGATAGCCAGCCATCATCCTCACTGTGTCCAGGTAGAGAAAATATATGAGTCAGCTCATTGTGTCCAGGTAGAGAAAATAAAGTATATGAGTCAACCTCATCGTGCCCAGGTAGGATAAAATATACGAGTTAACCACTGTGCTCCAGGTAGATAAAATGTATGAGTCAGCTCACTGTGTCCAGGTAGATAAATTATATGAGCTGCCCACAGTCCAGGCAGAGAAAATATATGAGTCAGCCTGCCTCAGTCCAGGTAGATAAAATATACAGTCAGCTCACAGTCCAGGAAGATGCAATTACATGAGCCATTCACTGTGTCCAGGCAGATGTGCATATGAGTCAACTCACTGTGCCCAGGTAGATAAAATATACGAGTTAACCTCACTGTGTCCAGGTGTAGATAAAACAAGAGTCAGCTCACTGTGTCCAGGCAGAAAGTATGACAACTCACTGTGTCCAGGTAGATAAAATATACGAGTTAACCTCACTGTGTCCAGGTAGAGAAAAATATATGAGTCAGCTCACTGTGTCCAGGTAGAGTAAAAAATATATGAGCTGTGCTCACTGTGTCCAGGTAGATAAAGTATATGAGTCAGTTCACTGTGTCCAGGTAGACAAAGTATATGAGTCAGCTCACTGTGTCCAGGTAGATAAAGTATATGAGTCAGCTCACTGTGTCCAGGTAGATAAAGTATATGAGTCAGTTCACTGTGTCCAGGTAGATAAAGTATATGAGTCAGCTCACTGTGTCCAGGTAGATAAAGTATATGAGTCAGTTCACTGTGTCCAGGTAGATAAAGTATATGCGTCAGCTCACTGTGTCCAGGTAGATAAAGTATATGAGTCAGCTCACTGTGTCCAGGTAGGTAAAGTATATGAGTCAGCTCACTGTGTTCAGGTAGATAAAGTATATGAGTCAGCTCACTGTGTCCAGGTAGATAAATTATCAGTCAGCTCACTGTGTCCAGGTAGATAAAGTATATGAGTCAGCTCACTGTGTCCAGGAAGATAAAGAGTATATGAGTCAGCTCACTGTGTCCAGGAAGATAAAGTATATGAGTCAGCTCATTGTGTCCAGAGTAGATAAAGTATATGAGTCAGCTCACTACTGTGTCCAGGTAGATAGAGTATATGAGTCAGCTCACTGTGTCCAGGAAGATAAAGTATATGAGTCAACTCACTGTGTCCAGTTAGACAAAGTATATGAGTCAACTCACTGTGTCCAGGTAGACAAAGTATATGAGTCAACTCACTGTGTCCAGGTAGATAAAGTATATGAGTCAACTCACTGTGTCCAGGTAGATAGAGTATATGAGTCAACTCACTGTGTCCAGGTAGATAGAGTATATGAGTCAGCTCACTGTGTCCAGGTAGATAAAGTATATGAGTCAACTCACTGTGTCCAGGTAGGTAAAGTATATGAGTCAGTTCACTGTGTCCAGGTAGATAAAGTATATGAGTCAGCTCACTGTGTCCAGGTAGATAAAGTATATGAGTCAACTCACTGTGTCCAGGTAGACAAAGTAGATGAGTCAGCTCACTGTGTCCAGGTAGGTAAAGTATATGAGTCAACTCAATTTGTCCAGGTAGATAAATTATATGAGCCAGCTCACTGTGTCCAGGTAGAAAGTATATGAGTCAACTGACTGCATCCAGGTAGATAAAGTATATGAGTCAGCTCACTGTGTCCTGGTAGATAAAGTATATGAGTTAGCTCACTGTGTACAGGTAGATAAAGTATATGAGTCAGTTCACTGTGTCCAGGTAGATAAAGTATATGAGTCAACTCACTGTGTCCTGGTAGATAAAGTATATGAGTTAGCTCACTGTGTCCAGGTAGATAAAGTATATGAGTCAGTTCACTGTGTCCAGGTAGATAAAGTATATGAGTCAACTCACTGTGTCCAGGTAGGTAAAGTATATGAGTCAGCTCACTGTGTCCAGGTAGATAAAGTATATGAGTCAGCTCACTGTGTCCAGGTAGATAAAGTATATGAGTCAGCTCACTGTGTACAGGTAGGTAAAGTATATGAGTCAGCTCACTGTGTCCAGGTAGGTAAAGTATATGAGTCAGCTCACTGTGTCCAGGTAGGTAAAGTATATGAGTCAGCTCACTGTGTCCTGGTAGATAAAGTATATGAGTCAGCTCACTGTGTCCAGGTAGATAAAGTATATGAGTCAGCTCACTGTGTCCTGGTAGATAAAGTATATGAGTCAGCTCACTGTGTACAGGTAGGTAAAGTATATGAGTCAGCTCACTGTGTCCAGGTAGGTAAAGTATATGAGTCAGCTCACTGTGTCCAGGTAGATAAAGTATATGAGTCAACTCATTGTATTCAGGTAGATAAAGTATATGAGTCAGCTCATTACATGTCCAGGTAGATAAAGTATATGAGTCAACTCACTGTGTCCAGGTAGATAAAGCATATAAGTCAGCTCACTGTGTCCAGGTAGATAAAGTATATGAGTCAACTCGCTGTGTCCAGGTAGACTAAGTATATGAGTCAGCTCACTGTGTCCAGGTAGATAAAGTATATGAGTCAGCTCACTGTGTCCAGGTAGATAATGTATATGAGTCAGCTCACTGTGTCCAGGTAGATAAAGTATATGAGTCAGCTCACTGTGTCCAGGTAGATAAAGTATATGAGTCAGCTCACTGTGTCCAGGTAGATAAAGTATATGAGTCAGCACACTGTGTCCAGGTAGATAATGTATATGAGTCAGCTCACTGTGTCCAGGTAGATAAAGTATATGAGTCAACTCATTGTGTCCAGGTAGATAAAAAATATAAGAATAAGAACATGAGTTTGACACCCACTATACGTACTGTATATACGTTAGCTGACCTTCATCCAACACACCACCAGTCACTCTTTTTTCCTCTCCGGTTGTAGAAACTGTTGGTCGGGGAGAAGCACAGTCCACCCTCTACTAGACCCCCCCAGACTCCACCCACCAACATGAGCCACACAGAGACTCATATCACCACCTACCCACCACACTCACCTACTAACACCTAACATTCATGGCCATCAACGCTCAGCTGCTACACACTCCACCTCACAACAACCAACACACATTACTCTAAGCCCTCCAATACAAATACTACAGTACTTCTCTATATGTATATGTATATATATATATATATATATATATATATATATATATATATATATATATATATATATATATATATAGAAAGGTTTGTTTTATTCAAGACATCTTCAGTTGCTCTGAAGGTGTCTTGAATAAAGACGAAAGCCAAGGTGCTCCGTTGTTTCCCTTTCCCGTGTGATTTATCAAGATTTATCTTATCCACGCTTTCATTAGGATTCATATGAATATATATATATATATATATATATATATATATATATATATATATATATATATATATATATATATATATATATATATATATATATATATATATATACATATGTTGATAACCACAAGGAAGAAGAAAACACGAAGTTCCTAAGCGCTGTGTAATTAACATCTTTGTGGGGTGAGTACAGACTAGAGAGAGTAATAAATCAAGGTGTATATATATACGAAACTGGACCTACCTGGTTTTTAGTTGATATAGGCTCAGACACAGCGAAAAATGGAACCAGTGTGTGAGGTATGTACCCAGCGTCGCGCCGCCACCAGCCAGACTGATCTTCTTGCCCGCTGCCTTTTATGTCTTCTAGGAGAAATGCCCCCTCCGAGCGGCTATTTCTGCTATGCCACGGTAGGACGCCACCCTCTGGGAGGCTGCGCATTGTCTCACTGTTCAAACCCCAAAACTTCTTCTTCCATCAATAGTTCATTAACGGTGTATGTAAGTTCCAATATGTTTTTCACTACAACGGTACAGCAAAGTATATTTTTTAGCATTAAACTGTAATTATTTTATTGTCTAATCATCACTACATATAACACCACCCATCATCACTACATATAACATAATCCATCATCACTACATATAACACCATCCATCATCACTACATATAACAACATCCATCATCACTACATATAACACCATCCATCATCACTACATATAACAACATCCATCATCACTACATATAACACCATCCATCATCACTACATATAACAACATCCATCATCACTACATATAACATCATCATCCTCCACCACTACAAATAACAACATCATCCATCATCACTACATAAGAACATAAGAACATAAGAATGAGAAACTGCAGCGGGCCTATTTTAATCATACTGGGCAGTCCCGTTTACACCCAACCCCTATTGCTCATATGAGCATCCAACCTAAACACACCAATGTATTCGAGTTAATGATGATATTTTAACTTGTTCCATCTATCCACTACTCTGTTTCAAACCAGTGTTTACCTATTTCACGCCTAAATCTAAATTTGTCTAATTTAAAACCATTGTTACAGTTCGCCCTTGATAATTTGAGTACCTTTGTAATGTCCCCTTTGTTTAGCCCTGCCTTCCACTCTATACACCTCTATCAGGTCGCCCCTCGCTCTACGTCTCTCGAGGGAAAAATTATGATGCTTTAACCTGTCTCTATACTCAAGGTTCCTAATGCCCGGATTAGTCTTGTCATTCTCCTGAATTCTTTCCAAGGATTCATATCCATTCTGTAACAGGTGACCAGAACTGAACTGGGTAATCCAGGTGTGGTCTCACAAGAGCAAGAAGCTAGGATGACCCTGTCTTGTAACTAACACTTTGTATGAACCCAAGTACTTATTAGCCTCACAGCAAAAACACATTGTTTACTTGGCTTAAGGTTCCTACTTATCATTACTCCTAAATCTCTCTCGCAGTCGGATTTCTACGGCATCGTTGTTCATCTGGTATCTGGTTTCCTGTTTACACTCCTCATACTGAGTACTTTACATTTGTCGACATTGACCATCCATTTTTTCAGACCATTCGAAAAATTTGTTTAGATCTTCCTGTAGTTTTGCCGAGTCCTCGCTTTTGCCGAGTCCTCGCCAGATTTGATAACGCGTCCTATTTTAGTGTCATCAGCAAATTTCATTTATGTTGTCTATGCCGATATCTATGTCGTTTATGTATATACTAAACAATAATGGTCCGCACTGAGCCTTGGGGAACTCCACTTGTGACGTTGCTCCAATGGGACTTAGTGCCACACGCTCACCTGCTGTTTCCTGTCCCAAAATCCACACGCCCCCATCCATTTAAGGATGTCACCTTGATGCCATGAGCTTACCTTTCTTAATTAGTTCGGGGACTCTGTCGAAGGCTTTGCTAAACGATATACCACATCATAATTGTGCCCTCGTCCACTACATATAACAACATCCATCATCACAACATATAACATCATCATCCATCACCACGACATATAACACCATCCATCTTCATATAACACCATCCATCATCACTACAGATCGGTAAAGTAGTTTCCAAGATTCGTGCGGACACAAACACATTAATAGACCTACTTTGTTTTAGATATATAGATGAACTAACACACTCTCCTTGTAAGGGCGAACTTATTGACGTAATCAAGGAAGGTAAATTCTGTAAATGTTCCCGACCTCTAACACTAGGTGTTGATACTTTCTTAGAACTGTTTTTGGAGGTTAGTAATCCCAGTAATAATAACACTGTTACTCTCCGCTTCCTTGTTACGTGGAAGCAATTATTTAAAAATAATATTTTTTCTCTACTCCCCTGACTCAGGCCACCAAATTTAGAGACACTCATGACGAGAAGTAGTCTGAAATCTTTTGTCTGGTCTCTGGGATCATCTTTGTCCGGTCTTCATTGGCTCTTGGTCCGATCCTATGATCGTCTTTGTCCGATACTCTGGTGGTCTTTTGTCCGATTTTCTTCTGATGGTCTTTGTCCACCTCTCTGATGGTCAATGTCCGATCCCCACTCATCTTTGTCCTATCCCTGATTGTCTTTTTTTCCGATCCCTCTGATGGTCAATGTCCATTCTCTGATGGTTCTCGTCCTATCTCATGTTTGTCAAATTCTCAGATGGTCTTTGGTCCGATCTCCTGATGGTCTTTGGTCCGATCTCCTGATGCCGGTCTTTGTCCGATTCTCAGATGGTCTTTGTCCGATCCGCTGGTTTTGTCCGATATCTGATGGTCTTTGGTCTGCCCTGGCTGATGGTCTTTGGTCCGTTCCGCCGATGGTCTTTGGTCTGCCCGCTCATGGTCTTGTCCGATCCTCCTACGGTCTTTTGTCCGATCCATGCGTCCTAGACTGTTGTGGCGCTAAGATCATATCTCAATCTCCCGTAAGGTAGAAAAAGTTTCCTCTTTGAACTTATGATAGAGATAAGCTCCGAAAATTTATCAAGAAAGTTCTTACATTAGCGGGGTCATCTGTATTTATCTCTACTAGATATTTCTGTGTCGTTACGTAATTCAATGAAAACACTCTCCTCCTGAACCTTTAAATAATTCCTTACAGAAGTGTTATAATTTGATATCAATATATAAGTGACACCACCACTGCGTCGTGAATGTGTTGATGCGTCTATTATAATTAGGAATGCGCTATACAAATGTTCCTAATATCGTTAGTGAGCTTCATTCACAGAACCTGCCACATCAAATTTGTAAGGCAGTAGAAGATAAACACTGGATCTAAAAAAGGTATCTAGGGATGAAGGAATACTGCTGATGTTATGGCTAATGAGGAAGGAATGAGGTAGAAGAAAACTAGAACTAAACTGTGGAGAGTCGGGAAGGTAAGAGGTACAGTTGGGGTTGGTGTAACCTGGTGCGAGTGGTAGAAAGGCACTAGGATCAACATGAGGGAGTATTGTGTCGACACCATGGGTAAAGGTGTAAATACATACGGTCTAAAGGCCATCTAAGGGAACAACACCAGCATCATCAGTGTATAAATATTGGTACTGATTAAGGAACAGTAAGAACTCAGGGCTCACTGAGGTGTAAAAATGGAATATGAAAGAAAGTTATAATAGTTGGGGGTAACGTACCACAAGTGCTACAAACCAACAGAATTAAGATGACTGTTGAGGGAGGTTTCAGATTGTTTGGCTTATGGTCGGAGGGACGCTGGTTTCCACCTTAGAGGTGGACGTGTACCTAGTTGGCTGACAGGGGCAGGAACCTCAGGTGATAGGAGAGGCAGTGGTTAGTCCCAAACAAACTTGACCAAACAGGCAGCCATAATGGGAGTGATCCACAATGAATGAAGGATTATGAATAAGATTCCAGCCACAACAACAGTCTAGGGCCAGTATGGATCGGACAAAGACCATCGAGGATCGGACAAAGACCATCAGACAATCGGACAAAGACCATCAGATAATCGGAGAAAACCAGCGGATCGAACAAAGACCATCAGAGTATCGGACAAAGACCATCAGAGGATCGGATAAACCAACGGATCGGACAAAGACCATCAGAGTATCGGACAAAGACCATCAGAGTATCGGACAAAGACCATCAGAGATCGGACAAAGACCATCAGATAATCGGACAAAACCAGCGGATCGAACAAACACCATCAGAGTATCGGGACAAAGACCATCAGAGGATTCTATTAAAGACCATCAGATAATCGAAACCAACGATCGGACAAAGACCATCAGGAGGATCGGGACAAAACCATCAGGATAATCGACAAAACCAGCGGATCGACAAAGACCATCAGAGGATCGGACAAAAGACCATCAGATAATCGTGGACAAAACCAGCGGATCGGGACAAAGACCATCAGAGTATCGGGACAAATACCATCAGAGGATCGACAAAGACCATCAGATAATCGGACAAAACCAGCGGATCGGACAAAGACCATCAGAGTATCGACAAAAGACCATCAGAGATTGACAAAGACCATCAGAGTCGGACAAATACCATCAGAGGATCGGACA